ACGTCGTTAGAATTTATTTGATGTTCTATAATTTGAACACGGGTGGTAAGTAAACAACGATAAAGAAACGACGATCAAATAATAATAACAAAGACTGCTGATCGTCAATTTGAACGTAATAGTTATTCGTTACGAAACATTATAATTCTTGAAATTGAGGAAACTTGGTGTCTGAAATAATTACGATTAAGTCAAACATTTTAATTGGTACGATAAATTTGATCACCGAGTAAAAGTCGTATTGAGTAAGTATGTTAATAATTTTACACAAAAAGAGTGTACATTAACATAAAAAAAGTATCCGTACTTTTCTAGTCGTTTCGGTGGAAGTATAAATTAAAGAATACAAAGCACGCGCGTCGGGTGCCATCGCGGTACAGAAAGTATGCGAGCCACCGTATCAATATAAATCGATCGTCATTCAAATGGGTCTGCAACGGCATTAAAATGCTCGTTTAGATTCGCTACAATAGCGTTCGGTTCGTTACCATCAATTAACTGCGAACGCTGAATAAGCCATTGACTGATTTATTCTACTTATGCACAGCGTCCATTAATTCTTCTACTACCTTTACTATTTTTTGTCGGCGACACTCAAACGCGATTATTCACCTTAACAACTTCTTCAATTATAAACTAATTTGAATTTCAACTCCCAACACAGAAACAACAAATACATTTCTATCCTTAATACCCTATAAAGTATCAAATACCTCTTAGAAAGATGCCTCTTTATGACTGAAAATGAATAAAATGTGCGTCATATTTGATCGAATAACGATAGTGTATCTTCCTGCTTCAAACGAACATCGAAGATCTGATACTTTAAAACTTATCAAATATTTTAACAGCGGTGGAAAAGCTAACAGATCTTATCCTCTGGATGAGATTGATGCTAGATAGACCTATAATACGAGGTATAGCTACCTGAATCTAGTTCTGCTAAATTCGACCATTCCTGTACCGTTATCCGAATCGAGAATACCTGGTAGCGATACGCGTGTAACCATAGCGGCGTTTACGCGGTGGCACAGCGATGAGACTTCACGCAGAACAAAGTTTATATAACTCGTTGGAGAGATATCACGGTATCGCTATCATATCGGGACATAAAAAGTAGTATAACTAGACTATGAAGTTGGTCACCGGCCAAGAATCTCGACGAATAAGCCCGTACATTATCCGTTGAAATAATTATCGCGAAAATGGAGTCTTTCAAGGACAAGATTGTCTGGTTAAATGTGCCTTAGATACTGCAGACGATTGTTAAACCGTTATCGCAAAAATGTTCGGTACGATCGAAAGAGATAGTAACCTACATACTCAAAAGTAAACACACCATCCTAATTAACACAAAAAAAAAAAAAAAAAAAAAATGTATATCTTGCAATAGCTCTCGGGGATCTTAATTCGTTTTTTAATTAACAACACCGATAAGGAAATTATTTATACATTGACAAAATTATTTATAAATTTGGCAAAATTGCAATGAAATTCAGGAATAACGGCTAATTAAAATTGTTAGATCTTCGAATCTTTTCGTGTTATTTTGCTTACTTTTTTTTTTTGATATTCACATACGTTCTACTTGTTACATAAAAATATATATCGTGACACATTCGTCTCCATTGGTTGATCTAGACAAGAATTTTGCCCACCTCTGTCCTAATCTTTCCGATTGGTTCGCTATACAAGCTCCATGCCGTGAGTCCGATCGATCAAGACGCGAGCATATGGCACAAGTGAGAAATGGAAGAGCGAAGTACGAAGACAGAAATATCGCAAGGTATCAAACACGAAATCAACACGATGCGCTCCCAACCGGTTAAAAACATCGATCCGCGTCTTTATCGTCATGACAACGTATGGACTTATATACAGTAATCTTTGTGTGAGCTCTGAGACCACTCGATGCATGTATGTTTCCATTCGACGTACTTACACCATCGGTATGCGCGCATACACACACACACAGATCAGTGACGTACCCAAGATTTTGCAACTTCGGGTTAGAAATTAATGTTACTAATCTCATACTTGTAAAACAATTTTTAATTTACGTTGCAATTATCCTTAAAACGTAGTAAAAATATGGAACTGACTCATTGAACTGTTCTTTAGCTCTGTATTGATTTTACCGTTTAGGCTTACTATTTATGCTATTTATTTGAGATCTCTACCCTTAGCAATATAAAAGCAAAGCATTTCCGTTACTTGTTCTATTTATCTATAGCCCCACACGCTGTAAAAGCTCTAGCAAAATGAAGCTTCTAATTGACTAGGGTCCCCTAGTCTACGCCTATTTTTATTCCACAGTGGCTACGCTCATGTCGAAGACACACGCACGCGCAGCCAAGCGCGCCGATTACGTATGTGCACGTACGTACCTCTCCTCTATTTGTTATCTTAGTCTATCTTCCTTGCTCTATTCTTATCGCAGCACGCTAAGAATGCATTTTCACGGTTTCACTAGCACGCACCTTCCGTGTGACGTGCGAACCCGAATGAAACAAACTCGTCTCGTTGAAATAGTTTCCTGGCTGTGGGTGACGCTCAATTAATTCCTACAAACGAGTCTCGGAGATCCATAATTGTTTTACCACTGAAATTATCGAAAGGAATAGCAACGATTAGACGCTGTAAACCGACTACTAGATGGAATACCTTCGTTAGCATGAATTGCATTTTAGATAATTGGGCAATATGTAGCTACGTTTTAAGAAGAAATGAGAAAATAATTTATGTATAAACATAGAATGGAGCACTAAATTATTGGCACAGACATATTTGGTTACATATCGATCATTCTTGTATTATACTTCACTTATGCTGGATCTAAAATATTCAAATGCATTATCTTATCCAGGATTTTTTAAGTAAAGCATAGTTCAGAGCCATACGAGAAGAGCTGTGTTTATCTAAAAGCACTTACTTCAAAACATATTTTCCCTGTTTCATTAGTTAATTTTATTAGATAATAAACCAAGTCTTCTACTCCTTAATAGGGAAAAGTTCTTTGAATACCTGTTTTTACACTATTCTATCCATCTAAATTACCTGTTTCAATAAGTTTACGACTGACTGTATGTCTGAGCTTGTGAAACATCTGAGAAAATAACGATGCATTCCTATAAATCTAATTTTATGATCTTTCCAGTAAATTTACATAATTAACAGCTAAGTAGATAAAGTGTCCTTTGTATCGTGATTCTTAAATTACACATTCATTCTGCATCTGTAAAATGATATGTAAATAGGTTTGATATAAAATCGAGATATAAAAAGAAATCGATTTGAATTGAAAGTGATTTAACGCGACAGAAGTTACGCAGTTAATACATAAAAGCTAACGCCTGACAAACTCTAACGCGATAACGTTGCACGAAGAGATGGTGTTTTATCCGAGAGGATAGAAAGTAACCATGGTTAAAAGTGATAGCGACGGCGTTTCATCGTCAACAACAGTGCCTGTCAAAGCGAAGTTCGGATTCATTGATAATCGCGAAATACATTCAACGATTCCGTATCGGTTCGCACTTCGATTTCGACTCAAATTTAAATAAGATCCCTCTTTATCACAAGCCATTAGTTAATTCGAACAAGACCGAGTACTAGGGAAACAATTGATATCTGTTAAGTATCGGAAGCAATCACGAATCATGTTTACAAATGCATTTTGTTCTGACGCATTTGTACACACGAGTCCGCGGGGCGTCCATATTGAAAGCAGCATAACCTCACTAAATGTTTCCAGTGTGTATTTCATCCTGGACAATAATAACACGTAGAACCACGGATTCAATCTAAGCTGCACGAACGCAAAACTTAATGAATTATCATAAAATAACACTTATCATTTCTCGCGAATAAGACGTTAGAGCACAAATAAGAAATTGTGCACGCTTTTCTGCATAACCTTGATACCTAACCACCACTGCAATCACGCATTCTTTGATTAAATTTTATAAACAATATACGCCGTATGTTTTCGTAGCCAAATGTGTTTATCTTGACATTGCTTCGCTTCGATATCTCATTCTGTGAAATCCACGAAAAACTTAAACATGAAAGTTGAACGTCATTCGACTGGTATATAAACTTTTAATTCGCAACTATGTTCGCAATTGTACACTGTACGTATGGACTTAAACTTAATTAATATCGACAGATTCGGCCATGTTGTGTTGATACCATGGAAAACGTTTAGAGAGACCGAGAACGCAGCAGGGCTATCTCGTCGACTGCCAGGCGAACCATTTCGCAAATTTCCTGGCGTACCAATCTAAACACTTACCGGCCGTGGCTTTGGTGTTTTTCCCATGATGCCTCCGGTTCTTCTTCTCCGATAATCGGCCCTTCAGTAACATCGTACACGCACTTTATCACGATTTTTATCACTCGTTCTACAGTGGCTACACATTATTATTCACCCGCACGGCAGCCATTTGCCCTCTACGTAGTCGGCTATAAAGCCACTCTCGTCATTTCGTTTAGCCTTTGGCTTTCGGCCATTCGATAGCCTTTGACGTCACGTGGATCCCGGTGACGTATCTATGCACGCCTCTTATGCTTACATCGTTTTACTCCAAATTCAGGAGAGTAAAACGATTTTTAGACAAAATTCTCTGCGCATAATGCCTTAAAGTAGCATTTTACATATTTTAGACTGACGCACGAAACGAAAGACGTTCTTAAAACGTTGTTATATTCATTCCTACGTTTATCCATAACGGTCAGGGATTTGCAATGAATAACAAGTAGAGAGACACTGGCAAGATTTCGACACGATCTCTTTTACCGACGTACGGTTATATATTTCGAGTAGTATTTTAATCGTAGCGTCAATTCCTTGATAAATCATTTTTACCGTATTCAGAAATTATATGGTTAGAAGTTGATTTTAGAAGTGTGAAACTTACGTGAAATGAAAACGATAATGTTAGGTACTCGGAGAGGACAAGACGAAAGGATACTTGAGAGTGAAAGAAAACTACCACAACTGCGTGTAGGTACGACCTTTTACTTCACACGATCATGTTCCTTTTTTTGAGCACACATTGTCCCAAATAAAAATTAAACGAAGAATATAGAAGGCAGCCAATGTATCGTCGAGAAATTGCTTTCTCACGATTACTCGTTCGTTCGATTAAGAATTTATTTTTGCGATAAGTTCCTTACGTGACGATTTGCTTCCGTCTACTATAAGATAATACCAAAGCCCACAATAAACCATACGTACATTGTATTGATCATATCATATATGTATTATATATACCATCGCATAGAAATCTATATATATTTATATATCATAACGTAAGTCGAAAAGGACAATCATAACATACATACGTCGGGCATCTATATTATAATTGTACGAGATACCATTTGCAAAAGATCACAACAATTATGCAAAAATAGACGTTATCCGTCACCTATTGTAACCGTAAGAAAATGCGAAACCATCCGACTTTCTTCACAACGTTGCAACACGTGGCGAATCAATCGCAACATTCGGCAATATAGGTTACAAGTTGCGTATTCGTCAACGTACGAGTTCAAATTGCTTCCGTTTCGAACTCCTTTTCACTTTATTAATTTTTATTTATCTCACGTTAACACTTCAGCGATTAGCCTTTTGTAAAAATTTTCTGTATAGTATCAATATCTAGAATGTAGGGTATCGTAGGTTGCAATATCACTGCGACATGGTCTTTCTATAACCCTTTGTTTTGTGACGATACCGTGACCAGAGCTAAAAGTTTCCTTCCGTTTTTGGTATCCCACGATATATACGAGTATCTAAGAAGACCGAGGAACCATCAGCTGCCTATGTTCATTAAGTGAAGGGAAATCTCGACGAAAACTTTGCCCCGGTTACGGTTATTACATTAGAAATCAGTACTTCCAGCGATGATATATAGTATGAACAAAATTAAGGCCCCTAGCCACGGTATCCATACGAGCGTAGAGGAATTAAATGTCTCTTTCTCTCTCTCTCTCTCTCCCTCTCATTCTTTCACTTAAACACTACACATTTTGACAAATAATTAAGTCATCACAGAAGCATCATATTATCATATTCAATTAGACTACATATCTTGTGAATGTTTTTGTTCAGTTAGCGCAGTAATATTACAATGATCGAGTACAAAATGGTTTTAAAGTTTTCAAGCCTAGTATAAAGCACTATCATATATATTATAAGTGTGCTTATATGTCGACGCATACCATGCACGTATAATCGTTTATTACGTATGGTATGTGCACTGACATATGGTCGCAATTACCACTTACGATCTAATTGTAGCGGTAGTATTCTATTATTATCCTATAAATGATAGCAAACATTTAACGAACGGAACACCGAAAACCTAGGAAAATAAAAGACGAAGCTTCAGAGAAACATCGGAAATAGTAATGAAACGTTAAAACTCTCGACTTCGATGATCGTTATGATCCTTTTTTTCAATTTTAAAACTCGAATAAATGACTCTTCGATAAAGTACAAAGGCAATAATAACATTATAATCACTGTATAAAAAAAAGTAAATATGAAAACAAGCGAGTTATAAAAATTTATAAAATATTAGTTATTCTAACATACACAATCATTCACAAACGTAGAGAAGTTATTATTTTTTTAATGCCATCTCGTAGAAGATCTACAATCGTGTTAGTGGTAGGCACGTTAGAACTGAAAAAATAATATTGTACATGTATTCTAAACTCAGATTAGTACGCGTATCTTCGTGTATTTTTTTTTTTTTTTTGTATTTTTAGTGTGTAGTTAGATGAAGGCAGTGATTTTGCACAAGTACAAAGTTGGAGATAAAAAAAAAAAAAGTAAAAACAATTTAATCGTTCGTCACGAACGTCTCCTCGAGTTACTTGTGAATACTTTTCGTCTAATCGAATGTTTAGTTTGTCTCTCAACAACTGTAGTAAAATAATATCGTTAAAATTGAAAATCTCTCCAGCTACTATAATCGCTTGCGAGTTCTTTAAAAATTTGTCTTCCAGCGAACGAAAATGGCACAAAGCGTAACAGAGTCACGTCAAGCACAGCGAGCGTGACTCCTTAGTTTATTCCGAAATTTAAACACGTAACTCCGATGATCTATTCAGCGAGTGACACTGCAAGCCGATAGCCATATCCCGCTCTCCTCTTTCCTCGATTTTGCAACGATGAAAAGATATTTTAACGAGGATTACGATCGAGAACGATCTTCCGTTTACCCAGAGCTGGCAGTCTCCTCTTCAGCTGGCACACCAGATAGTTCGGACAGAGCTGCTTTGTTCTGTCTCACAATTTCGGCGCGCCTTTCCTTTAGAACAAAAAGGACAGACGATACTTTAACTCGTAAACAAACAGACCCGAACTATTTCATAAAAAAAAATATCAAAGTATCTCATGCTAACTAATATTAAGCTAACATGTATCTATCAAATGTCGTGGCTCATAAATGCAGGGAGTCATGCTGAAAAGAAAATCAGAAGAGGAATTAGGTATACAGAGCGATTCTAGAGTCTAAAGCAAGCTTACAGAACTCCTGTTTACATCTTCCCTTAGAAAAAAGATGCAGCTTGTCACGGTCTCTAAATTCACGCTGCATAATCGCACATAATATAAACGAATTTCTAGGGATTAGTCTCTGCAACATAATATGGCGAAGCACGGTAACATTCCTTAAAAACTCTAACAATGATAGGCTACTGAAATGATCGGTATTCCTACTGAACTTAATCAGCGAAACAGATATATAATAAGCAACGGCCTCAGGGGATAAGACAATAAGAATATCGAATCAACAGAAAGAGGGCGAAATTACATATTGGCGAATAGCCTGCACACGACGTTGAATCTCTCGCTGTCTGTTCTGCTCCGCAGTAGAAACCCTCTTGTCAAATTCGAACTTTTTCACCATAATTTCTCTCGTGACGCACTCATCCGCTGTCTGACGCACTTTTGCTATCTTCACAGTGTTCTAAACGACCATTTCAAAGTCCCTTATTGGGTAAATTTTGTCGATAGTGTGCAAGAAAGGATTTCCACGAAAGATCAAGTTCGGAGAACTTTAACTCGCATCAAGTTTTCTGAACTTGAACCAAACCAAATGTGTATGATTGTTACTTCTACAAAGCGAGAAATCCTTCCTGATACTGCCCAAAACAATCGAATAGAGAACCCATAAAATAATATACCGAGACTGAGCGACTTGATAAACGCGTGCAACTTACATGATTGCGCAGTTTCTCCTTCTGTTCGCGTTCGATGTTCTCACGGCGTTCGCGGGCTTGGTCCAACTTGCCTTGAATCTGGGTCTCGAGCTGTTGCACGCGTTCGGATATTGCTTGACGTATGCGAGCAGCTTGCTCTTCCTAAATATTAAAAGACGCGTACTTAATACGCATGTTTTCGAAAATGCGACGCAATTCATGAATAATCTCGGATACCCACATGTTCCTTGAGACGGTCCAACATCCTCTTCATATTCTCATCGCGTTGAGCAGCAGCGGTCTTCAGCTTCTCTTCAACGGCACAACGAATCTCCTCGGTCTGAAGTTCGAGGCTCAAGCGAGTCTTCTCTACACTTTCTAACTGTAAACGAACCATAGACAAGATAATAACATGACAAACTATTCGTTCGAGGTATCAACTTCTGCAGAAAGTTCTGTCGTTAGTTTTGGAAGCAAATTTCATAGCTTACTTCCTAGCCAGTGGTTCTCAAATGTTATTGGATTAAGATCCACTTCTAAGTTTCATTTATTTGATTATGATAAACATTGGTAACTTTTCTCTTGAAAAATGCAACAACTTTCCGCAGAATCTGATATAGTTGGACGTGGGAAGAAAACTAAAACTAACGTGTTCTTTCAGCTTGTTCTTCAGTTCAGCGATATGTGCCTCTCGCTTCTCCTCGGTGTTGTTCATCTTTGCGTCCAGTGATTCGCGGGTCGCGGTGATGAAAGCAGAGCTGAGTTCATCCTTCTTGCGAGCGGCCTCTTCGATTTTGCTAAGCTTAGCAGCAAGAGCGGCGAGCTTATGAGCTTCCAAAGAAAGTCTTCTCTCCTCCGCCGCTCTAAGCTTGTCCTCGATAGCGACTTGTTGAGTCGGACTTGTCTGTGGCGGTGACGGTGCCCTCTTAGGAACTGTTGGCTCCGCCAAAATTACCTCGTAGCAGAGGCCACCCTTAGATTTCTCTTGGCATCGAATTTCGGTCGCTGAAAAATCATTGCGGAGTGAAATCTGTCGGGTCGTCTTTTATAAGCTTTTAGTTAACCATAATTAAATGAAGTGCGAACACTATAAACACTACACGAAAAATTTGTAATTACAATTACATTTTACGATACAATTAATGACATTCTTTATCGAGAAAGTCGAATGTGAAAGTGTTTCAAGCACGTTCACGTTAAGCAAAATTTTGTTTACTGGAAAGTGGCAATTTATGTAACCAGAAGTAACACGGTTTTATAATTAGCATTGTATACTTCGTGTAAACACGTTAGGGACGTGAATAGAAATTTGTGAAGTGGTGATATCAAAGAGAAACATCTGTGTAGCCACTCTGTGAACGTGGTTTCAAAACCGATTTTTTCGAAAATAAAAAGTAAAAATACCAAGTGCATCGTTGGACGTACAAAATATTCGTACCGTGTACGTACTGCCATTATAAATCATTTTCTGTAGAAAAAGCAATGTAATTAACAAATTTAATAATTTCGCCAGAAAAAAATACAAAAGAAGAAATTGGTTTTACAGAGTGTCGAGTTCGAATACCCTTATGTTTTCGCAGCAAATATTTTCCTTGAAATTTTACGCTACAAGAAAATGTAACAAAAGAAGAAGAAATTGAGTTCTTCAAGGTGTCTGGCTAGGATGGCCTCTGAAGTGTCCAATTAAGAAGCGTAGGGGGAAAGAATCTCCCTCGACGAAAGATGTCTCGATCCTTCCATCTCCTATTTCGCAAAGTGCACGAATCAATTGCGGAAGTATGACTCAGAGATGCGAGAAGGATCGATCAACCCACGGGACGATTGTCTCTAGGCGCCGCGACGTCTAGCGTCGGCACACGCATATTTTCAACGGCCACCCCACGTACACCACACGCTGGAGTGTTCTTCGACATTCGCCGCAGTCGATTTATAATTCATCCGGCGACATATTGGCGACCGTTTGCACAGAGTTCGTTGCACCCCCCAACATGCGCGATACGATCGTAGAATCAAAAGTAACTTTTGACGCGATTTCTTACTCAATAAAAATGTTGGAATTATAAAGGATATTCCAAATGGAGCTTTGGAATTATTTTTTTTTTTTTTTATGTGAAACATAAATGGTATGGAATATATTATATATGTATATATTTATAGTTTTTTTTTTTATTTTACATGAGAATACACATGATTACAATTAAACGAGAAACATGATGTCGCGTAAGTTGATATTAAAAACCAATGTTCTAAAGCCCCGTTTGAAATCCTTTTACGATCAGATTGCATTTGACTAAAGCTGAGTAAGTGATAACTATTCGATCGAATAAACATAGCGAATAAATTGTTATACGCGCAATACTTTCTACTCTGCTATCTGGAATCCACTGCGACGGGAATCCAGTCATGGGATGGTCAACTTTGTCGACTCTCATAGTAAAAGTTCGCCGTTAATTGTACTCGATCCGAGGGCGTTTGAAGCATGTTCGATCGAATGTTTCGCAACTGAGAAAGCAAGCGACTCGTTGAAGCAGGTTTCTGGTTTGTTTGCTTGAAAAATCTACTTTCTTGTAAACCACATTTTCTAAGACCTTCAGAGCTTGAAATCACGACCTTATTAGAAGGACATCTCGCAAACGAAAGAGTACACCTTGAAATTTTAAATAATAGATTAAAGATGCCAAATTCGAATCAATCCCATTAATTTATGTCCCTGAAACTGTTCCTGCTTTATTACTCAACAAACCGAAAACCCTGTCTCAACCAAAAGCGATGTACTCACTGATGAACTTCACTTTCTTCGGCTGCTTAGTCCGCGGCTTTCCTTTGCCGCTGGGCTTCTTGAAGGGCGCGTTGCCCCTTCTACTTCCCGCTTCGAAAATTGAGAATCAATGAGAGTACCGTATTACCATAGGGACCAAGGGAAACGGGGATCATGCTTTAATTATCGGAAAATCGATGCAACCGTCTGCTCGCTATCGGCCGACAACCGGAGGTAGCCATCTTGGGCCGCACCCCGATCGTTTTGGCAAGGACGTTCCATGGATCACGTGCGTGTCCACCGCTACTGCGATCTCTCTATATAGTCGTACTAGTCCATGGTGATCCATGATTTATAAAAAAAAAAAATTTATCGACTTCTATTCCTCGTTCAGAACACGTTTGGCAAGAGGCGTATAATTATATATAATACGTTATAAAAGAACGTCGAATTCATGGTTACCGGCGCAATGAATTTCCACCGCACACCGATGATGGTGGGACCATTGGTACACGAGTGCACCCTGGGTGCCGGTTCGCGTACATGGAAGGGAAATTGATCGAACTGCGGGTGCCTTGGATAATACGATAGCAGCGTGAATATCGACTTTCCTCGACTGCGGTAAAAATACATCTACCGGCGAGATCGAATACTGAATATATCAAGAAGAACCTTTAAGGTAGGTTCAAGGAGGAAATAATCCTTGTAAACGAACAATATCCGAACCCGGTACCACCTGCAGTCCGTTAATAATATACTCGCCGGCACGTTTCTCCTAGGTAACGCAAACGATTGATTTGAAATTTAATAAATAACGAAGAACGAATACGACGATAGCGATCGAAATTGAAACGTCACAGAGAAGGGGACGGGTATGAAATTCCCTACCGGATCGGAGGGGGTGCAGCGGGACGATACCGTAGAAAATCGGATTAAAAGAGATCGCTAGTTTAGAGGATCACCTCGATCATCGGGCGTCGTTCACCGCGATATCGACTCCTCCCCTTCTAGCCATCGGTGTACGCGTATCTTAGCTACCAGTCGCACATCAAAAAGCGGCGAACGGTTGCATCTTGGTACCGCGGTACGTCGAGAAACGCTGAATTTAGGATCGTATTTAGGACTCACCTATGCCCAGAGGTGCTTTGCAGCTGTGACAGAAGCACTGCAGCACTGAGTCGCGCACGAGATCGATCAGCATGTTTCTAGTGTGTTATTGCTTTCTTCTATACGCGAAAACACGCAACCGACGAGAAACTGAAAGCTTATGCGGCCAGCAGCAGAAAAAGGAAAGGAGGGAACACAGAAGTCGGCAAGAGGCACGTCCGACGAGCAAAGAGGAGGGCCGGAAGTGGCTGAACTCGTATCTAGGGCGGTAGCTGGAGGGCGACTGATCCGCACGGTGCGCCACGACGCCCGGCGTCGCTCAATATCCACCCACCGACGCCTCTTGCGCCCCTAGCCGCGGCAGACCACCACCACCACCGCCGCCGCTGCAAGTAACCTACCCGACGACTTGCTACCCGTCCACCTACACTAACCTCCAACCTACAACTTCCACCTCGAGCAGGCTCAACATGCCTATATCGTGGACCCGGCTGCCGGTCGCTAGGCACGTGTGGAGACCTACGTGAAGGCGTAAAATACCATCTGTCCAAACCCCAGCCATCAGACTCTTACACTTTGCCACCGCCGTGTACCACGCCGCGCTGATCAATGAACGATAACGACCGTCTTCGCGAAGTTTCGCAGTCCGACGAATTCGTTCGCACATTCTGAATTATGGTAAAGGATAGAACTGTGGCAGAAGGCACATGGCATAGAAGTAGGGTTCTAGACGCAGGTGTGAAGAGTGTGTTCAAACCATCGTTGGGTCTCTTGAGGCGTTTTTACGCAGGTTCTTATGCACTGCTGACAAATAGATTCCATCGTCTCATCCTCTCAAAATTCTGTAGTTAGTTGTTAACAAAAATGAAACTGTAACAAAGGACCATTTACAGACTCCAGGTTGCGATATTGAAGGATTTGTTGTATTTTATAGAATCATTTTATATCATAGTATCTGGTGTTTTTAGATGTAGGTGCAAAGTATCCTTAACTCAGACTCAGCCACCATCGACCCTCTGGCATTTTGACGCAGGTTCTTAGCCAGACTGCTGATCAATAGACGATGTTTTCTTGCCACCAACCTTGCGGGGTGCACTTCTAGATCTCGTGTCTTCGGAACTAGTGGACACCAATATATTAATAAATAATATACATTATAACTATCAATTTCAATGTATATCGAAGGCATATGTACACTTCGAACTGCGATTTCTCTGTGCAGGTGTGAAAAGTCTGCATTTTGCCTTTGGGTCCTCGCCAGGCTGTTGATCGATAGATATCTTCTTTTCACCACCTTCGCCAATTTTCACACTCCATCGAAGTTACTTGTAGAACCGAGTTATCAAAAAGAATAGACCTGCAACAAAAGATCGTACACCGAGACGACGTTCCTGCACCACGTATAGATGAATTGGTGTCTGATTGTATGCCGGTAGTATTTAAGTGGCTTCAGATGTGCGAGGAACCAGCTCCAACTACCGCCTCTCTTGTATCTTGACTTGGGCACGTAGCCAATTTGCTGATCAATAAACGATATCTTCTTTTGACGTAGATTTTTGGCCACCAGGAATAACGGACAGCTAGTTACCAAGGAGGAGTCGCTATACTCCGCACGGGACAGTTGAAATCTGATCGTACGTTGGTAATATTTGAATATAAGAGACATAATCGTGGAGTTATAAATTATCTGTCCAATTTCAACCACTCTGGAACTCCTTACACTTTTGGCTCTGTCTTCTAGCCAAGCAGCTGATCAATGAACCATATCTTCTTCCGGCGATTTTCGCGAAATTCGGCAGTTCTATGAAACCATTTGGCGATTTGGCGCCTTGGCAAGAACAGAAATACAACAAGAGGTTATTTATTGCCGCTGTGTTATAATACTGCGCATAGAGCAGCGAGGGTCTAATTGTATCCTGGTCGCATCCAAGTTGTACGCAAAGGTGCGAGTATCGTCTGTCTAATCACTGTCGGTCTTCTGGTGTTTTGACTTAGGCTCGCGGCCAATCTGCTAATCGATAGGCTTCTTTGTTAACAATACGTTCCGCAGTTTAGCAAAAACTGCGTTTAACCTTTGCTAAACGACAATGGGGGATTGTTTCGATGTTGATTGTCCAATCGCGCGTCGCAGTACTCGTGTGTTCTTACATGGAGTCATGCTCTAACGTTCAGAAACTATTTTTAACGAAGCAAGTATCACCTTGACTACATACAAAAAAAATACAGATTATCTTCAAAAGATAATATTAGGTGGGCCAGAAAGTAACGTCGTTTCTTTTACATTAAATTCTAACAAATAAATTCATAACAAGTTTTTATTTTTAATCAATTATGTTCGCACTCTTTTCCAACAACCTTTTGCTATCTAGTGTGCAAATTTTCAAACTCAGATCGATAAAAATCAATTGGTACACAATGATCTGATAAACGATAAACAAAGTTGACATTGGCAGTAACGTTTTTCTTTGACCAAGGGTCTGAAACTCGAAAGATTTTTTGTTATAAATTCTACGATTGATCTCAGGCACTCGTTTTACGTGTATAGATTTTTCGTTCCCAAGAATAAATGTTCTATATAGTTTGTACTATTACGTACAAATGAAACAGAGTCCAAACAGAGTGTGTTGCAGCACACAAGTGCCGCAAGATAATTATTCTTCGGCATATTGATTTTGGAGTTTGCGAAGATTTTACGTAACCAGTGCCCTATTTTGCGATATGTCTACCGTAAATCTTCCCTTGCAGCTGGATCTCCACTTTGCTCGATTGCGCCACTGTGGAAATGCTCGAGACCTCAACTTTGTACCACGCATACCGAGTGTGCACAGAATGCTTGGCAATTTTGCTTCGATTGTACCCATATCTGCCATAGGCACGTGTACCCCAGTTCGCTTGAAGACGAAATCAGAAAGTATTGCTTTCAGTGGCATCTGAGATTGTTTCTTCTATTTTCATGTTCTTTGCGATATATCTTTGGATAAGTGAGCAAAGTGCAATATTATTTGGAACATTCTGATAGAAGACCACTTGTTCGAGAGTCAGTAGCATCTCAGATGCCCATCTCTAGAGTAAATCACTTCAAACTCCAAAGACCATTCAAGGAACTTATCCTTCAATTGCTATACGAATATAAAGTGTCCCTTCTAACAGGTGAAACACAAACACCTCCTGTCATCGTCCCTCATTTCCTGATTTATCAATTTCTCTTGCCAGCTCTCGCCTGGGTCAGCTGTATTTGGGCTAAATTGCTTTCGCGCACATCCTCTCCTCCAATTTTCTCATCGACGCTTATCTCGATATCTCTGACCGCCTCCCCCCCCCCCCCTCGGTTCGTTTTCTTTATCCTTCCTGGCATTGTTGTCGGCTTTTAATATGCCGCGTCGAGCTAAATCGATCGCTGAAAATGGCGCGACAACGACCAAGGAAACGCCGTTGTTGGAAAATGTGGGACATAAACGACGAGCCGTTTTGTTCCGTGAACTTTTCCGTTCGACAGACGCGATCGAACGGTGGCAATGTCGGGACAACGTGACGCATTACGGCGGAGGATAACGCCGTAAAATGAATGAATCTTCCTTGGTACGAGAGGATCGATATCGCAGAATATTTTCAGAACTTGTAACAGGGAAACGAGCGACGTTAATAATGCAACCAACCGCCCCCACCTTTTTACCGTTGGTCACGAACCGCGGTAAATTGCGCAGAAATCGGAAGCACGGAATCCGATGGAAAGTGTCTCGCGAACTATACGCGGCCAATCGTATTGTTTGGCAAAGACTCGGGTATAACTTTTCGATGTCTCCCATTCAAGGGGACTTTCTACTTTGCAGACAAGAAAACGACTTGTTTTTGCGAGAGTTTTTTTGAGGGGATTGAATATTGAGAAGTAGTTTATTTCAAACTTCGTATGTTTGTTATACTTTTATGCAGAGAAAAAATATAAATTTTTTGTTGGACTTGTATCGTACTGGTGTTTATTTTATCAAATTAAACTTCTACTAAGTATTGGTAGAAACGTTTAAGTAATTTCAATTATTTACGTAGCGATCAATTTGTCAAAACAGTAATATTACTATTAAATTAAAGAACTGAATCGCTAATATCGAATAGTTCCTTAATGAAGGAAACTTGCTCTTTAAAATAAAATATCTAGAAAAAAAGAAAATTCCAGAATGCTTATCCAGCGTGATATTTAATGAGCTCCGCCAGCTCGGTGCATTTAATTGGATCTAAAAAAGCGTCAACTAAAAAGTGAGAAAAAAAAAATGTAAAACGAGGTCGCCTGAAGAGTGAAAACTGCATCGTTTCAAAACATGCTTTATCGTCGCATGCTCTTTAAGGTGAGAAGTATGTACAACGAGAGTTTCAGCGTGGAAACACTTATGGACATTTCAGTCGATATATGTTGCACACTGCTGGGCAATCGGATTAACCTACGCACTTCAATGTCACCGTGCACGCTCTTTAAAGTCAACAAGGGTCTTTCACGTGTGCAGCAAGCACGGCCAGTGCGAATCTAGACTTATCAAGTCCTGATGCTAATTTCAGGGATCCCTTTCCTTTTCTGCAATGCTTTCTGAAAAACAAATATTATTAATATCTAAGTTAGCTAATTTCTAGGCATTCAATCTTGAAAATATTGAAAACGCAAATGACCTGGAAAGGAATTGTCTTGAAACTATTCGATTAAAAATTCCATGCTCTCATTAAACAAATTCATAATTAGCAATACGTTTTCAAATACTAACTGTTAAATAAATATAGAAGGTTATATTATACAATTTCCCCAAAAAGAAACTATTCCTCTATGCTTCTTAGTAATATTTAATTTAAAAAAGCATCGAAAACGTAAAAAGCTTTTAAGTAAGCTCCGAAGCTGGAGCTTCGTTAACTTTATGGTAGACCGTCTCTGAGCTTATATCCCATTCCCCTGCGCGAGACAGCTGTCTGGTAAAAAGAGCTACGACGCTTTAGCGGCGTTCTAGTAGCCAACGTCGCGTTGAATTGTGATATAGTGTAATTTATCGATACGTGACACTCATACAGGGACCACTACACTGCGTACACCAGCCCCGGAATTGGGAGATCGATACAATCGCGGCAAGTAATTATTCGCATTGCGAAATTGGCGATGGCTACAAAATTATGCGCGATAAAACAGAATTCGAATGATCGCTTCATAAAATCAGTACTGTACAGTATATTTTTCCTTTTTAATCAAAACCCCCTACGTACGGTCAGTTCCATAAGTATGTCTATAGAAGAAACTTGTCTAAATTAAATGACAGACTTAATGTTTCTAAATATATTTTTCATTATAAATACATACATAAAGTTTACATATTTTTAATGAAACATAGAGAATGCGTCTAAATGGCATACTGACAGTATGAGTAATTTATTGGGATATTCAACCAACCGTAAATAAAAGATTGCTTTGTTAGGCTGTTTACGTTTTGACCACCTGGTATGTGATCGATATAATTGCATGGGGGTGGACGGAAACGGAAGTATGATTCCCACGTTTGAACAAAAAGAAATACTATAAGTTAGTTATTACATTATAACCCGTTTCCTTTAAAATTATCCAAATTAAGTAATTCGCAAATTCTTCCTGAAGATCCAGAATGAAAACCATAGGAGTTCAATGTTTAATTAACTCTTTGAGGTATCCGATTATAAAAGAAAAAGAAGATTCAAGCTGCTCAGAAGAGCAGCGTCAACAATTTGCTGACGCTTTTTGACATTTCTGGTTTCACTTATTGTACTTTTAGCGTTAGTTCACAGTATTGCGACATGAATGAAAAACTTTAAATAAAATAGCAAAGCTAAGTAAAAGATGGGACAGTTTTTAACCAACCAAGCTTCAAAGAGTTAAATTGAAACCTTCCTTGTAGTGCTAACTGTTTTATTCATTTCACTTGGTAGCAAAGATTCATCCATTTCGAATTTACGAATAAGAATCAAACAGATCATCAGACTTCAGTGACAGTAAGAATTACGAAATTAAACTAATCGAAACAGGTATTGCGCAAAGAAAAGAATAGATACTTCAAAATAATAGTAAATATTTCGCAGCGGAAATGTATGGTATTCGACGAGGGTTGAGAGCCACTGAAAGGCGTTCGAGCACTGCAGTCGAGTCAAGCTGCAGTTGCCACGGCGAAGTGCAGGCTGCACTTCTCCGAGGACGCCAATGGAGGACTCTGACCTCTTCTCAGTAACTATCTACTTTCTTGCAGCCTTAGGGTGTGTTCCTACTGCTGCCTAAATCGCCGTACTAATTAAGGATCCTTTGTCGTACTGACTTCGCATCGGAGCACGTAAAAGCCGCGTTGCGCACAATTTAACAAGCGGTTCCTTTGTTCGATTGGGTTTCGATGCAATTATTCGCGACGACCCGATCGTTCATGAAAGTTATCACTGTTAAATCGTGTGCAAATATTAGAAATTCTAATCTACAAACAAAACGATATATGTTCTTAAGTCGTTTGTACAGATTAGATAATGCACGTAAAACCTATATTCAATGTAATATTCGATACTATTGTTTTTTTCATCAATTTTACTTACATTACTGATCTACATAAATGGCAACAAAGGTACGAATATTTTGTAATGGAACGACTAAAATATATAACATACGTAATAGAAATTTTTTTTAATCGATAGATGTTCTATATACACATATATCGCAAACATAGTAAATTGCAAGTATCGTACAAAAATGTTGTTACTTACGTTCGTTGTTGACGGGTGATTCCGTAGCAGTAGCCATTGCGGGATTACTAGAAGTGAATGCATTGATTTCGTGAATCGATCGAAGATATCGGAAGAAAACAATATGAAATATTCCTAACTCGTACTTTATTTATCTTTACCCCTTTATATTTTTTGTCGTTTACTCCGTATCTCCTGTTTTAATAATTTCGCGCGAGATATGCGACTTGGAACAAAGAAACTGCACAAAGAAGTTAGAGACCATTTATCTGTCAAAATTTTCCAAGTTGCCTACTTTATCTTATCAAGCGATGGTCAGGTACATTTGTGTCATCGAGTAGTAGTTTTTTTTTTATCGAGGGATGGTACATTCGTCGGTAAAGAATAATTTTAAAACCCTTTTGCTGTTCTTCTGCAATCGAAACAATTGAAATGCGAAGAAAGAGGGTATTACAAATCGAGCGAAAAAACTTCCTCGCCAGGACAATGACACAGAGCCATGAAAACATAACTGCTTCGACGAAGCGGTCAATTACCCGATTAAAAAAATGTTTGATGTATTCCTTTGTAGTTGCCAGCGCTCGATAAAATTGCTTGAAGGCATCTTATAGAAAGCAATAAAGGACAAAATTCGTACCAGAATAAAAATTCTGAATAACAGAAAATGGGCATCTTTTACGACATTATTTGTTCGATAAAACAATTGGAATTACATAATTGAATTATGATTCATGTTGCACGATTATTAAAAGCTTATCTGAATAATTGTTCGGTGAAGTAAACGATACGAATGAATCGCTGTACAGAGTTTGTATTCATCTATTTCGGATAGAATTTGAATAAAATACATATATCCGACAGAGAGTCAACGATAGGAGTACTTGTACGCATCGTTCGCGATCGGGTTCAAGCCTGCGTACCGCAGCATACCGTAAATCGAATACGGAAGACGTCGATCATAGTTGCCGAATAAAAACAACGAGATACTCTTTGTCTTGTGTCGGACATTGATTAAGCGTTTTCATGGGACATATGTATACGCGAGTAACCGGTAAGGCGTCTCTTTGTTTGAATTCGTAGCGTCTCCTTATCAATATGGGAATTTATCACACGGTAGCCGAGTAAATGTTCGACTTACCTGTTTCTTCACCTCGGTAGAACAAAGAAACGGAGTACTACAGATTGCACAGAGCGTAGAGATCCTGCCACAGGAACAAAACCACGTACACACTCGACAATAATGTAAGGATATCTGAACGGTTGCTGGACTTGCTGGCTGCTTTTATTGCGACATGCGAGTATTCCTGTGTGTCCAGCGATTCACACCAGTTACCGTTTGGCTACACGCACGACCGGCACGGCACTCACACTTGTATTTCATCGAGTCGCCTGGAACTTCTGTGCGTTCCTATTGGTTGGTTATAGTGATCGGTTCGCCACGATTGGCCTGTTTGAATATGAAGCGTTGTGTTGATTCTCAACGAGACGAGTCACGGGATTTCTTCACCACGCACTCGCAGTACCGTTTCGTTGTTTAGAAGGATGGTGATTGTAAATACGACGAGATTGAAAAAGGTAATTGCTAGTTTTGTTTGCTTTGTTTATCGCGTGCAAATTCAGGACTTTTACGTTGCATTTCGCAGCACCTATCGCAGTGACCTAGTACACATAAATAGAAAATCTGATCGAAAGGAACACCCACGTTCGAAACAATTCGAGGATTAGTAACAGTTTTTTCTAATTTGAAAATAATTTAAAAAATTTCAACTAAAGTAGTAAACATACTTAAATTAATCGTAGATATGCGTATTATTTTTGAATTAGATTTCTCATATGTTCTGTAATTTGTTTGTCTCGCTGCTTCGATAAAATGAAATTGAACTTTATTAATACGCATTTTCCGTTTGTTAACGTGGGCCTGCCAAATTCCATTGTACTTTGGGCTACGTGAAGACATAATACGTCACTGATCGTGGCTTTGTGTTAACACGAACTCAAATTTGTCGTTGAAAATTGTCGTTCTTATTTGTTTTAATGTAAAATGTACAAAAATTGTATTGAAGCAGAGCGAAAGAGCAAAACTAAGTTCATTAGCACTTAACAAATAATGTCATGAATTTGAAACAAAGAACGTTCTTTCACTAAATTTGTAAATAACCCAATAATTTCGATGACAATTTTTGTAAATTTGTAATGGATGTATCCATTGTTTGTGTGTGATAGGGAAGCTTCTCGAAAATACAAGCGTCTATATTTTCGACTGCAACGCAGTTACACAGTTTAAAAAAGATTCATTCTGGATGAATCATATGTATGTCTATGCATCTCTGCTAACGTGTGTACCGATATGTGTGGGACGTTGTGACCGTTGTGCGACCATACGAACGTAAAAATCCGTTCCAAATATGGCTGAGTCGTTATAACTGGTTTCGATGGTTTTACAAGAAGCACTATGTATTCGTACAGATTTGAACTAAAAGTTGCAAATTTTACTTTCGCTAATTATTTCAAGTTGGTCGGTGTTGTTCAATTAGTTTTCAATTACTAATCGCCAATATAAATTACTTTTTATTGTTTGTTTCGATATTTCGATAGAGATAATAAACGGATACTGGGATGATAAACGAGTCATTCCAATTACACTAAGAAAAAACGTTTTACTTAGTATATATTTAATATTACTATTCTTTCATAGTAAAATATATGTCAAAATTGCATATGCTTATAGTAATACATTTGTATCAAATAATTTCTTGTAGAAATAAAACTTATGCATACTTAATAATTAGGGCAGTATCTTTGTATCTGAATGTCATAATTTATGAAACTAAATCGTAATATGATGTATTGAGCAAAACTGTATAGGCGTTTTTTTTTTAACATCAACCGTTTAAATGTATAATTTTACTGAGGTAGAATGTTCTAAATATTACGTTACATAAAAAAAAAAGAGAATGTTGAACATTTCTACGAAAAAAAAAAGAGAATGTTTCACTACAATGAAATACAAAATCTATATTACACGAATCGTTTGATTCTGTTCTTATGTTTCGCGTAACTTAAAGATTTCTGTACCGAGTTATGATTGATAATTCGTAATAAAATTCTGGAAAAAATTCCTCCCAAAAATTTGTACTTGTAATAAATACTTCATATTGTAGAAAATGACCTATGCCAACGGGCAAACGAAAGATCATTCATTATGTGTCAGTTTACTCGGATCTTTTTTCATAGAACAGAGTACAGTTTTAGGTAACTAATTGTCCTACACATACGTAGAACATATTGTCTTTACCAATTTTCATCATACAAAGGAGTGGCATCTCCGCTTATTGACATACTCCGAGGACTAGAATTCGTAAACGGAGTCCCTTTGGGAGATCTGTAAGACGGAGTACGAACAGATGGGATTCTATTATTCCGTGGAGTTGTTCTTTCATTTTGAGTCTCTTGATTCCGTGGCGTTCTTCTAGAATCGTCGTATCTTGGAGTACTGTTACTAAAATCAAAAAAATAATATTTTATTCCAGTTCTAATATCGATGCCTGTTTCAAATATGAACTTACAAGTTTTTCGAAGGAGTTTGCTTTGCACGAGCCCAAGCTTCCGCAGCCTTTGTCCAATTCGTTGCGTCCGATGAAACGGGTCTTTGAGATCTAGCAGGTCTATGCGAATTTGAATTTGTTGCGGTTGGGATTGGTTGTAAGAACTGTCCTTGATTATGACTCGGAGTCTGAGGATGGTGAGGTGTATGATGTGGCGTATGATACGGAGTCATAAATGGTGTCTGGCCTGAAGGCGTGTAAGGTGTGCTTCCATAAATTCCACCATAATTATTAACACTGGCAGTTCCTGGTGTACACGGTGGATAATTATGCGGAGTTTGGCTTGCTACCTTCGAGAGAGAATGTAACATGTGATGTGGCATATTCTGGGCTACTTTCTGTATCGCATCTGGATTCACTCCTAAAATGCAAAGAGAATTTCCATTACGATAAAATAACAATTATTGTAACATTTTAATGCTATAACAATAGTACGAAATTTACCATTAATTCCTGGAGTACCACTGAATGGTGTTCTGGATGTCATGCCTCCATGTGGTGTACCAGGCGTAGATTGACCAGGTATAGGATCTCTAAAATGCTCTTTAAACCAACGGAATAAGTCGTTCACTCTACTAAACATTTGACCTCTGTATCGAAATCCGTCTGGTGTTACGGTGATATATTCATGGCGGCAACGAACCCGTGGCAAATACGAAAGTAAAAATTTTCCAGGATAATTCTGAAATATAAAACATAGCAATTACATTTCGAAAGTAAATATTATCGAATAATTCGGACTCCATTATCTTACTTTAGCAGCGGATAGAATATACGGTATTCCACCAGGATTTTGTTTTTTCTGTTCTTTCAATATTTCTTCCGCTTTGTCTTTAATACCTTCCACGTGTGATTTGTAATATTTAAAATCTAAAAGTTCGGAGGCATACGCGGCCATTGGATTAATATGTCTTGCAATTATTTCATCTAGATCTTCGAACTCTTCGTTGCCAATCCACAAACTGCGGCCTAAAGAAAATGCGTTCTCTTTGCCCTCCTCTCTTATATCGATATGTTGATGAATTTTGTCCGTGACTTTCCACGTCACTGTCAAATGATCCGATCCTTTACTGCTCGGACGTATTATAGTTTCCCCTTGTTTCACTGTTTGCATTAGCTTTTCAACTTCTGCAAAGCTAATGTTATGGAAACTGGGGTGAATTATAACACGCTTTACATAAGTTTGTCTTTGTTGCGTTTTTTTTGTTTCTTCTTCAACTTTTGTATCGTTCTCTTCTGCCTCTAGGTCATAGTGGACGTCCTTTTGAGGTCTCCATTCGCGATTTTTGTCAGCAAGATCGCTCGATTTACTAGTACATTCGACGCTAAATCGATCCACTTCTATTTTTATTATGCGACAATGGATCACTTGACCAACATGCACTCTTTCCTCTGGATTATTGACGTGTTTGTCCGATAAATTTTTTACGTGAATGTAGCCAGAGACTCCATTATCTAATCTCAAACGAACTCCAGTTGCCTTTCCAGGACATGCACCGGCATCGAAATGATTCCATACTTCCGATAATTCTGGAAAGTCGTTCTTCAAACAGAATGGACATTGCCATAAACCAGTCTCGTCGTTTCTAACAGGATTTGCTTGATCTAATTGATCTCCCTGTGGTTTTCTATGGCTTATTCCAACGACTGTCGCCATGACCAATTTACCAACATAAAACGTTTCTGGGGTCTCTTTCGTCAGAACATCAAATAATTTCTCCGTATCTAGAGGTTGATAGGGTACACGGAGATCTTTGTATCTAGAATTCAATTCAGCTCTTATATCGTAAAGGGTAATGCACTTGTTTCCAAAACCCTGTCTTTCAAGCTCTTCAGCGAAGGCATCCAGATCTAAATCTTTTAATCTTTCTGGAGATTCAAGTATTTCTTCCAACGCACCGGCAGGATTTGCATCTTCGTCGTCGTATTCTAGCGCGTCCACCGCCATTTTTCTTGCCCATTCGTACGTCTCTGGATGTACACGTGAACCATCCAAGACTTCTACATACGCTTCGGTACTATCTCCTAAACTATTTGTGTCTATCTTAATAAAACCAGCACAATTAACGAACACCTTAGGGCCCATGTGACAAGCAGTTATAAGTTGTGTTCTGTTCTCTAGTCTCTGATTAGTTTGCTTTAGGATCTTAATCAGCGATTGTGCCTTTCTGGCACCTAAACCACATACAAATTGTAATAAGTTCGCTGTGTAAGGCTCTTGAACTGTTCGATTTAAATCTACTCCTACTTCGTTCACGCGGTTTATAAATTCCAAGTATAAATTTTCTATAAGATCTTCTTTTGGTAATTGATCTTGCAAAGGGTGATATTTAAGGCACATTATTTCTTCGTCTACAGTACACAATTGAGAGAACTCTAATAGAGGATCTTGCATTCTTCTTGCCAAAGATATAGCTTGCCTCAATAAATCTGGATAATCTCTAAACTCAGATGTACCTTTGTTACTGTTCGCATAAACTTTCGCTAACTCGTTATCACATATCTCAACTTGTATGTTAGGAAATTGTTCCTCTTCTGCTAAATTGGTAAGACATTCCTTTATATCGGCTACTATCATTAATGCGTCTCTAGATTCACCGCTTACCACAATAACGTGTGGTTTTTTCGTAGCAATGAAATTCTTAATTGCTAATAAATCGGCCTCCTTCATCATTTTTTCATTTTCTCTAAAACTGTTTTTGCGTTTTAATAAATGAGATAATCTCAGGTAATCAGTACACTCTCCATCTGGAGCAATTATGCACGCAAAAGCAGATACAGATGGATCAGATACATAAGCTAAACCCATCACTCGGATTCCTTTACTGGTATTCCAATCTTCATCTTCTTCCTCTGGGAATCTGCAACTGTATGGAGCAATTTTGATCCAATTATACATTTTGCGGCAACAAGCTTTCATAACGCATTCTTTTGCCTCTACTGTAAGAATGGATCGCAATTCTTTCTTTAGATGTGGTATTACGATACGGTTTAAAGCTATTTCAACACTGCCAGTTCTCAATGCATTCCAATCTTGTACGCTTTTACTAAATTCGTCCCTGTAGTATAATTGTTTTATTTCGTCGATATAATTATTGGTCGTATTTCCTTCTATCATATCACTGAAGGAAATTGTAATTAATTTTTCTTCTTCTGCTATAATTAGTTTTAAAAATTGATCTCCAACAAGATCTCGCACAGGCTTGTCTTTCAGATATTTTAATGTAAAAATGGGATGACCTTCGTCAATTTCCTTTATCCCCTTTTTGGTTGGTCTTACAGACAACTTTGCTCTTTCCATATACATTTCTCTAACGCATTTACGTACTAACGGCTCATGTGCCAATTGAAACGCAACCATTAATTGCACAGCTCTAAGCACTTCTTCGTTTGTTTTAAAAATATCTGAACAATATTCTTCGGCTGCTACAGTTGGTTCTGTTGGTTCTTGCTCTACTTCGTGACGTTGATAATTATCTCGGAGATTTTCGGCAAAGTGTACCGGTGTAAGGCCAAACTTTTTAGCAAGTCCATCTAAACGAGCTTTTCTACACAGAGAATAAGGACCTTTTCTAATTGGCTGTTTTAATCCATCGTCCGCATCGTCGTCATCATCTTCCACATCGATATTTTCTTCTAGAAGAATTCCATTTTCCTCAGCTGCTGCAATTTGTTGTTTTCTTTTTTCAATTCTAGCTTTCTTCCGTGCTTCTTTTTCCTTTTTACGAATGTCTTCCTGCATTGCCGAAATATTGTGACTATAATAAAGCATAAAGTGCTGATAAATATCATTCACTTCTTCAAAAGTTTGAGCATTTTCAAGCCGTTCAAGATCATCATCTTTAATCAGTCGTATGTTATCAGGTAATGGAGCATCAGGATTTTTCATAATTTCATCCAATTGAAAATTTCTCATCTTTTCAAATAATCTCAATAAACTCTCTTTCCTTTGCTTAAGTTGACACCATTTTGTGTCGAATTTATATATTTTCCACAAATCATTGATATTTAATTCCGGTAAAACATATTCCTTCCTATAAAATGAAATGAAAGGAACTTCAAAATTTTGATTACGCATGAAATCCAAAGATTTCTTAATTTTTCCGACAGTTTGTGGGCCCTTTTTAGCTCTTTCTTTGGCTTCTTCATTTAAATGAGAATCTTGTACTGAAATTGTCGGTTGACAAAATGCTTGCTTGTATATCCACTCTGCCTCAAGATCCAATTCATCTGAACCTTCAGCTGTTGGTGTAATTGGAGTAGTACGAAGTTGCATACGTTCAGGAATGTCTGTAGTACGAATCTCGTTATCCACATCAGTAAAATGTCCGCGTATAAGTTCACTAGGCTCATATATTTCAAAAATGCTCTTCTTTGTGCTTTTTTTCTTAAAATGTTTCTTTGATCGTCTTGGTCGGTCTTCTCCATCTTCTTGAAGGTATTCATCTTCTGCTTCATCCTCTTCTTCTTCGAATTCATCTTCTCCATACTTCCCAAATTCGTCATAATCAAAATCGACACCAAATATATCTTGAGCTTCTTGCAAAGCAGCGTCTGAAAAAATATGTTTCTTTTTCTTCTTCCTTTCAGATATGGGTAATCCGTCACCATCTACAATAAAATCATCTTCATCTTCACTTTCCTCTTCATCAAATGCTTCCACTTCTGGTCTATGACTAATTTCACTTCTTTCCTCATCTTCATCTCCAGACCCTTGAAACAATTCATTAGCAATAGCGTTCCTTTCATCTGTCTCTCCATCTTCTTCTCCTTCTGATTCTTCATCTTGTATTCTGCGCAGACGCTTAAAACGATGTTTCTAAAAAGAAAAATTATGTTATAAAAGTTACATTAATATATATTCACATTTATATTTACATTTCATTTATATTTGCCATGCAATTTCATTTTCTACATACCCTTGAAACTTTGACTCCTAAATTTTCTTCGAGTAGATCGTAATCTTCATCTTCCAAACGGTCATCAAAATCTTCATCATCACTTTTTTTACGTTTCCCAGAACCTGATGCATCGCTATCCTCACCATCATTGTCATCATCAATTGGATTATCATCAATAAGCCCATCAATTTCCCCTATTCAAAATATTGATAAAATTAAAGCTATAAAAATATTAGTAATTTCATTTATATTTTAAAAAATAGATGAAAATTCATTTTTTTATTTAATTCTTAAAATCTAATAATACAAGGCAATAAAAGTTGTAAACATGAATTTTTGTAAATTTGTATAAACATAGATATTAAGTAACTGCATAGAAGGAATCTATAAGGTGGAAAAATCTTATAAAATATTGCTAAGTCTGGAAACCCACAATAAGCAAACAATAATCTCCCATTACAGAAATATTCCCACAGATCGTTTGATACCTTCGTCATCATCTTCCTCGTCGTCGCTATCCTGCATAGCCTTTAACTTTTTAAGCTTTCTCCTTTCATTGATATCGAGTTCCTCCTCTTCCTGGAATATCGTAAAATATTAGGTTATGTAAAATCAAATGCTCTCATCATCGCATATTAAATATTTTAATACTCACTTCACTCTCCTCTGCTTCGGCGTCCAAGTAATCTGCCATTTTCCCTTATAAATATAAAATCCTTTCGACAAAATCTGCAGAAACGTCGACGAGAAAGTGAAAACGTATTGTTGAACTACTTTGTTGGAAGTGGAAGTAATCGTGACATCTGCCAGCTGTTTCTATAGTGTCTATAATGTTATAAAGCAGGGGGACCAATTTCACATACTTACTATAAGTTGCAATCTAGTATGTGGCGCCTTCTATCAAATGCGTGGTTAAATTTCGCGCTCAAGTTCGAATTAATGGATTAATAAAGATTAATAAGAAAATTTCATAGCCATAACTTCTACTTGAGGTACTTTCGCGTATCGACAATATAATTCGAGATATGAGATTCAACGGCGTTTAATCTTTCTTTTGGAAATACAAAGTGTAAGGAGAAGTAAAGTTGTCTCTATCCGCCTAGTAGCAGCGGAGGGGTCGTCATTCGTTTTTCTGAATTTATTATCCATTACGCAATATGTAATGTATTGTGTGTAAATAAGAGTAAAATCTCCAAGTTGATAAGCTATTTTAATTTTCATTGTTACTTTACATCGATTGATGTAACTTGAAGCTGCTACTCTTTTTGCGCGCGAAATTTAGCTGTGAATAGTCAACGCTAGTGGCTTTCCCCTCAAGCGACAAAGATTTTTATTCGATCAGCTGACATATTTGCAAGACGATTGGTCAAATATTTCTCTCTTATTTGACTTCGATTTTGCAACCGGAAGTGAATTGATCATCGTAGTACTTTACCTGCCTGGTTCGCTATTCGTCTGCGACAAAGTGGTTTGTAATTTCCCAATAGCGTGTTAACGATAAATGAAAACTGCGAGGTAGAAGCGTGGTGAAACAACGCGTGAAATGACCAGGATACGAATTTGAAACGATTCATTAATACACGAGGATGCCGACCAACGAAGAGTCTACGGGTGACAGCCTCTCGGAGAGACTTGTCAAGAGTGACGAAAATGAGGTTGTGAATTGCCGGAGTAGCACGGACAACATTGAAGGGCATAAATTGCGACATAGCACGGACAGTTTTCCAAATATCAATGAGAGACCGGTCGAAGATATCTCTATCACACTCTTCTATAGGCCACACAGCATTACGTTGCTACTTACCGCGATCGGTGCTGTAATATATTCAGCTTTTACTAGGTAATTGAATATTCAATTCAATTCTTCGTATTCCCATTGGGCATATGTAAAATACTGTAAATATTCATGTTCATTTAACGCAGGAATACTACCAATGTCGAAGACAACATTTGGGCTGGAATACTTTGCATCATATTTTTTTTTCTAATTATATCGATACTCACATTTCCTAATGGACCATTTACGAGACCTCATCCTGTCGTTTGGAGACTCGTTTTTGGCTGTAGTGTTTTGTATTTAATGGGCCTGTTGTTTTTGCTATTTCAAGATTACGATACAGTGAGAAAAATCTTTGTGTGGATAGATCCAGGCTTGGCATCGTTTCATATAGATATGGATAAAGAATACGGTGTTAATTGTTCAGACATTACGTTAGAGAAGATATGGAACCATTTAGACATTTTTGCAGCTGCTCATTTCTTAGGGTGGACTTTGAAAGCAATTCTTATTAGACATCTTGGTATTCTTTGGGCCATTAGCGTTATGTGGGAAGTAACAGAGATAGCATTTGCCCATTTACTACCAAACTTTGTTGAATGCTGGTGGGATGCTTTCATACTTGATGTAGTTGTATGTAATGGTTTGGGTATATGGGTCGGATTAAAAATTTGCTCTCTATTGGAAATGCGAGAATACAAGTGGGTAAGCATCCGTGACATTGAGAGCACCACTGGCAAGTTGAAGAGAGCGATGTTGCAGTTTACACCTGGCAGTTGGACTGCTGTTAGGTGGCTAGATCCAACTTGCACATACATGCGATTTGTTGCACTGTGTCAGTTGGTCATTTTCTGGCAGGTTTCAGAACTGAATACATTTTTCTTGAAGCACGTATATGAATTTCCACCTTCTCATCCATTTGTTGTGTCAAGATTGATACTAGTTGGGATAATTGTTGCACCATCTGTTAGGTACGCAAGGGGTTATATAAAGAAAGTTATACTTTTATTAAATATATATTTTTAAGGGGCCTTTTCAGTTCAGTATATTAGAATATGGAATCTTTTTGAGAATTCTTTCCAAATGAGATATAGAAATAAAGTTTTACATAAAGCAAGACATAATTTTATTTCAAAGAATGTTAAAAAAAGCAAAATTCGGTTTTTTGGGATCTCAAGAATGAGAAAACCCCTTAAAATAAATTTGACAAACTTTATTACATAATATATTATTACAAAAGTTATGATACTTCAATAAAAATTATAGGCAGTACTACATGTATGTAACAGATCCAACATGTAGTAGAGTAGGGACACAGTGTTGGGTCTATGGTGCAATTATGGTTACAGAGGCATTACTGTGTATAAGACATGGTGCTGCATTATTTGAGCGCACCCAGGCATTGAACATTCTTTTATGGCTACTTTGCCAATCTCTAGTCTCGGTTCTTTGTGTTTATGGCTGTGTTTTATGGCATCAATACTTTGAGGTATGTGACTTTTTTTTGAGGTAGGAGTTTATTTTGTAACTAACTGAATGATTATTTGTGATTTCTTGTATGCCTCTTGCATGGCTCTCGTCTTTTCAGACGGAAAAGAAAGCTACTTCAAAACAGTCAGTTATCCAGCTAGGCAACAGCCATGTGGATGCAACCCAAAGCAGTGGTATGTGTTGATGTCTACTAGATTCTTTTGAGGCATAAATAACATACTAAGCCGATAGTGTACTGAGCTGTTGATTTATAATTAACAACTACTAAATATAAAACAAGAGTGTCACCTAAACGTTCTAGAGTCATTACCTAACTGACTGTTTTGTATGTATTCACATAATGTCATACTTGGAACAGTCAAAAATACATAGTGTAATAATAATATGTAAACATCCATGAATATGAGTGCATGGTTGAAAATATTCTTGAGTTAATATATATGTTCATGTATTTATTATCGAAAATTTTATAAACATTTTGTCAGAGCTCAGTTCATTATTGGTTCAATAAATGCTAAAGTAATATACACGTGTAGCAACCCATCTCTGTTCTAGGGAGTATGGTCCACTCTACAGAATTTACGCTGGAAAAGAAGCAATTGTGAAAAAACGAAAAAGGAAAACCAAGTTCGCAACAAAAAACGGCCGACTTAAGGTTGATGTGTTTACACTATCAAATTTCTAGTCGAATCATAGAAGCATACAGAAGAGAGTATTTAACTTTAGTAGGTTGCCAATGAATATATGAGCTCATCTTATTTTTACATATTGCATCTATTGCGTGTGAATGTTTCGAAACAAAAAAAAATCTCGTTCCTGGAATAAATGAAGTGCGTAATGACCATAAAATCACGCTTCTTCATAAAAGTCAGTCGCTATATCATTTACGCATCAGAGTTACTCCGGTTACATCGCTTGACGGAAGATATGGAAATACGCTGCAAGTATAACTGGGAATTATCCCTGAACCCTCTGGACACTTCCAAGCCTCGCCTAGGAGCCTATTGTTAGACGCAGAAACAAAGATGCGAATGCGACTCGGTAACTGCTCGTCCTCGTACAGAGATACATACGAAGACGTAAGTGGCGACTTCGTGCAGTGCATCTGCGAAGATGGTGAATGAAAAAGTTTAGTTTATGGTAATTGTCTTAATAATTGTAGATTTAAAATGCTAATGCCATGAATTTCACTGTAACACGAGTACCTGAGCATAGGTGAGATAGAATAACTGATCAGAATCAAGTTCAAGCCATGGAAGATGAACTTCCTCACGCGATCTCAGTCGATCCAAAGTATCGTACGCTAATCTAAGTCCCATTGTCTCGGATAAACGTTCATTTAGCGACAATTGCGAAATCTGAAACGTTTTTGCAAAAGAATAGTGTTTATTTTTTAACACTCTAACCCCAATCGATCGTTTTACTTTAAAGTAATATTTTTACATTACAACGATTTTATAGAGAAAAGGAATATATAATTTCACCTCGCAAGACACGGTCTGTCCTGTGGATGGTAACGTCATTGTTATAGGACTTCCATAGAGTTCATCCTGTTGACAACGAATGTAATCCTTGAAATTCGAGTTCGTATAGTCATTGCCATTTAATAGAGAATACTCCGTATCGCGAGTTCCATTCCAATAATAGATACCTGATGTGCAGTAAGGTATACATATTGTTGGATATTTGAATGATAAGACTTTTCTTAACGTTCGTAAGGATCTACTGTTGTAAATGTTACAATGTTGATCGCGTTTACATTACGATTATTATGTATTGTTAAAGTACCATTTGCGTCGAAATGATGGGCAATTTGGTGCGCTAGAACGTTGCCAAGTGTTGCCAGTCTTATGTAATCAAACGAGGGTTTGTCGTATTTTATGGACCAGTCGATAACACCGTACGGTATCACAACAAGATTTAGTATGTAAATTGCAAGCCCTTTAGATTGGAATGGTGTTGCGTAATGCGTCCAACTATATATCAATCCGCTTATTAGATTAATTCAAAGATGTTTCATACACTTACTTCCAATTGTAAACCCTTACATTTGTTCAGGATCACCTGGATTTTTAAATAATTCCGTATATATCTGCACTCGATATCTTTGCATTAAAGTCACAGAGTTCTCGAAGTAATTGTCCGACAGATTTACCTAAAATTAAACTTAAAGTTAAACTATTATTTAATGTAAATATTTTTTACATCTCGAAGACACAGTTTTTCTAGGTATCTTATCGTATATTGCTCAGACATTTGTTATTGTTTTTCTGAAAATTAAAGCATCTTTTCGTACCTCGTTTGCGTGAGTTTTTCTGTAAGTCGATGCGCTATCAGTAAAATACGATACATCCGGTACGGTCACTTTCAGGTCATTTATTTTTGCAATCAACTCGTTACGTCCTCCTTCTACCACCCATTCTGCCTCATTTATTTTTGATTTCAGCGTTTCTTTCAGTTCCTCGAATAGACTATGTATCTATTAGTTCGTACAGTGATGATTAGTTACTTTAAAAAAATTATATTAATCCAAAGAATCTTTGCGTTTATAAGTCATCTCTTACGGTCGTATTCATGTGTAGGAGTTCTTCATTTGAAAATGAAGAAACATACAAGTTTGAAGCTTCCGGAACTAGAACATTAGACACTATCCGAAGACAGTGTTCCTTAGGATTTGTATGCTTTGATAAAACTAGCTAGAAGAAAAAAATCTATTAAAAAGACAATCCGAAAATTGATCGTAGAGAAAGAATCGTACCTTGTGATAAAGATTGTGCGCATACAATCCTAACAATGCATTGTTTAATTGTGCTGCGTCTCTAGCTTCAAACTCCGCAAGATTTTTTAATCCTTTAATCAGAGCATCGTAGAAGTAAACCTGCACATATGCATTCGGTAGAACTTTTGCCTTCGTTAACACGTAAATCAGATGCGTCCAATCAACCTACAACATATGTTACGGAATATATTTATTTCATTGAAGAGATCGCAGTCGAATAAAACCCAGTTGACCACTCAAAGCGTTCAGTGTCATCATAACTCTTCTTTTGCTACAAGGAATAGAGTAATAGGCAAAATTCCTATCCGAGGAATTATTATACGCTGATTTTATTCGTTATTTATTATTGGAATGTAATTTTGCCTATATCTGGTGGCGAGGCGTTTAAACGCTAATGGTGCAAGGATACGCTCAATGACTTTGTTGCGGTCAATTGGTTTAGACCTAATTATAATTAATCAATGGAACATATAAATATTTTATCTTACGACACTTGTGGCTGCTTGCAGATTTTCAATTGAAACGCGGGTGTAATTTTTCATCAGATACGCCTCACGAATCTTATCTTTAGATGGATAATTCTGAAACACAAGGAGAAGCAATTAACCTTAGCCCTCTTATCTTTAAGCCGCTTTGAATCGTGCTCGAGAAAACCGCTAAGACTACTTATAAAGCAAATGTAAATTCGAATTTTGAAACTTCCCAAACAATTTAATTTTTATGGTACCTTGGCAAAACAGAGATGAGCTTATTTGTAATTATAGATTTTTATTTAATCTCGATCGCGGAACACTTAGATCTAATAGTAGTTGTGAAATTATATTGAATACTTCAAATTAAGTGCTGTACGATTTATTTGGTATATTAGAATAGTAGTTAATTTTACCTTAATTCAAGGTCATCTCAAGGTCACTACATTTTTCTTTCGGTACCATAAAAATACAAAAAAAAAAAAGGAAAGAAATCGGTTACCAGTTTTTGTAACACTAGGCAATAAGAAAAAGGTCATTGCAGTTAAATCTAAAAGGGTTAATGCGAAAACTTAGTAGACTCACCGTGAAAAAATTCTGCACGATTTCGAAATCAATGTTGATAACCGTAGTATGTACGTATTGAGTGATGTTGTACGGATTGTCCAACTCGCTGAAAACGTCGAGTGCTATCAAGGCTTCCGTGATGGATTTTATAAATTTTTTTGTATTGTTCTATCGAATGTAAGGGAGGAAAAGGATTAGATTACTTAGTGATGGAGCATGTTTTTTTAGCGAATTCATATATACATATCCGTACTTTACACGTTTTGTATTCTTTGTACAGTTCCCCTAAATCAACCGTCTCTTGGTCTCTTTCGTATTGATTTGTGTAACAGGGATCCTCCGTTTCCTCTACGTCGAAGTGACTTTTGTACGTTGTAGGGCCTATCTTAAGGGTGAACTGTTTCGAGGAAAATTCGTCGATATCCGGTGAAATGTCGAACAACAAAGCGCTGGATAATCGAGAAAAAATGCAAAATATACGAGTAATACGCGACCTGCGGTATTTTTGTACACAGTCGTCTCGTTTGTATGTCTTACCTGTCGTGTAGAAGTAATCTGGCAACGAGCTCGGTGAAGTTTGTATGATTTTTGGCCCAACTGTCGATAGTGTAAAACTTTCCAACCCTGTCTAACACTCCCCTCGCTGTAACAAAAATATTATATTATTATCGATTGTACATACATTAAATGTATATTCAAGTTAGAGACTAGTTAGATACCCCTTCTCACATACCCAATTTTGTCCTTTCTGTTAAATTGATGTTTTCGTATTGCATGCAACTGTTGTAATACTTGGTGAAAAGGTAGGATGGAGTACTGTTTACATCCTTCTGCGATTGTCCTGAAAGTGAAATGAAACCTAAACATCTAATCTTAGCAGTTCCAAAATTAGAACTATTAGCATTTGTCTAAGTGTTCCATTTCTAATGGTCCAAAGTATAGAATTTGAGATAAATATCGGAAGTGTAGTAATTAAACAGTAAGATTTTATCAGAAGATATTTTATATATAGAATATTAAACTTGGGATCTAGTAGTTTATCTTAGTAGTTTGAATTAATCTAAATGTTTTGTCTCTTGTATATTGAATCCTTTAAAGTTTGGCTTTAGTTTGTTCGTTTGATATTTTGAACATTTTTCTTTTTAACGAACTATTTCAGTACCCTATGGTACCCTAAATATATAGCTGAAGTATATACATAATGAATGTTGAAAAAAAAAATGTTACGAACGTAATATACGCTGATAAGCTGCATTTTCCAAATTCATTTGAATAGTCTGTGGATTTGCTTCAAAACCACCGCAAGCATATTCGTAAAAATCGTCACACGGATCGACCGTGTGATTCATGTAAAATAGCATTTTGCTGGCTATATTTTTACATTCGCCTGTTGTGCAAACTTGTCTCTTAAGTCGATACTCAGAAGTCGTGGTTGTAGGTCTTCCTGTAATACTACCTTCCAATGTACTTATCGTTGTATAATCGGTTGTTGCATTTAAGACATAATCGGTAGTAGTTTCAATTCGAGTTGTTTCTTCACTGTCAGTTGTCGACATGATAACGCTACCCGTCGTAATTTCATAAATATCTGAAGAAGTCTGTTCGCTAACAATATTTGAATCCGTCGACGTGGAGGGTTGCGTGGTATAGATTTCAGATTCATTAATATTTTTCTCGCTGTACCCTTCTGTAGTTAAACTCGAAGAAGTAGTTTCTGTAGAATTAAAGTTCTCGGATAATGAAATCGTCTCAGTCGTGGAAGACTCTTCGTACAATTGTACGTCGGTTACTGGCAATGTTGATATTT